CCATAGTGTTTCTTTCTAAACACAAGGTTTCAAGAACTGAAATCGCTTCCGTCATCAAGGTGAAAAAGGAAATATTCTTACTCAGTCGGGTCCATTTGAGGGAGTTAGTGTTGAGCAATAAACCACTTGCACCCTGCTAGTTTTGAAAACGGAAACAGATTCAGTTCCCGAAACGTGTTGAAACACTCAAAGAGGATAGACAATTTCGAAAGCGATAGTCGTGTAAAATGTAAAACACCATTGTCAGAAATATTTATCCTTAATTAAACCGTTTAGATACGAATATGGTTGTTATCACATTGCGTTCAGTCATGTGATCCTCCCTAAAGCAGCAGACCCACACTCCAACGGAGAAACAGGCTAACGGTTTGACGAGAACTGTGTACACACGCCCCAAGTATGGTCAAAAGAGTCACCGGAACATCCAGTACTAACAGAAATACAAATATATTTTATAAGAAACTACCAAAGGAGTTGTTTGTATTATAATATCCTATTTCATCCCCATAGTGTGGGTGAACCAGCTATTACTAATTCCGTTGCCACAGTTCGTGTATAAGCTTTATATTGCCATGTGTAGGGTGGTACTCGCGACGAAAATGACGGCTTCTAGTTCGGATAATTAGATTTATTAGCACTTTGCTTACAAATTCTCTCAATCACATGTAAATACAGCGCTATCGCTGTTTCCACGATCTACACACACAATAGTCGTCTCCTGGTACCACAACTAAAACGTAGGAACTATTGCAGTCTCACTGGATTACACACTCTAAGTATTACATATAAACAAGTTCTTCAAATCACACTAAATCCTCGCAGGCCGACCTCCTGTACTCTTCTCTACTCCTGGTCCCAATTCACTCTTTTCGCGTGCTTCGGTCGCTACTGTGTTTTCGTAATTGTCCTCAACTGAACTGTGTCACTGAGAATTCAGAACTGAACTTGCACGGACCCCGCAGAAAGCACATAATCTATTGTCGAAACGTGTTTACCGAAACATTTCATATTAACGGTCGCGACGCGGACACATAGAAAACAATCTCCCTATTGTTGAGGTTGGTCTATCAAGCCGTTGTTTAGCAAAGCTGTGGTCATCTAGGTTACAATATTATTTTACATGTTTCGGCTCTTTTTGGCCATCTTCAGGTAAATTATACTCACTCTCCATTTTACTAATGTTTTACGCTATATTGGAAAAATCTATATGGACACTACATTATATAATTTTTCGTTTGACGTTCATGTATTTATACGAGTATATGCTCTTATTTACTCATATAAAAGAGTACGCTTCAACCTGAGGATGGAGATATTACAGCTCTGAAACGTTTATTTTAAATAAAAAAACAGGAAGATGGATAAAATACTTACATAACACAATAACTGTAGAATCATTACAGTTCTACCAGATGTAGACATGTCTGCATGTACCGAATTACCAGATTAATAAAAGCCTGCCTTGTGAGTTGTTATTGTACGACCACATAAAATGAAATTTTCGCTACAACAGAAGAAGTTCTATCGTGAATGTGAATAATGCATGTATCAGCAGATAAAGCAGAACAAGCTTGGAAGCTTGAAATGGCTTTTGAACATGGACGTCACGAAAGCTGAGTGGCCGAAAGCAATCAGGCAAGACTAAATAAACAATGGAGCCAATAATTAGTTGTGGCGAAGTGTTTCTGCAGCTGTTTCTGCACATTGGGCTTCATAAGCGCATTTTATGTTTCTCCACTCTCACATTTTGTGCCTTAATTTCCCAAAATATCCACTATAAAAAAAATACAAATCCTGTACTTAAATTCAGTTTCATTAGATTTTCTTATTCACATTTTTCAAGGTAGCTTCATATTGTGACCCATAGACACATTGCTAGGCAACGGTTCAGTAAGCACACCCCAAAGCCCACACGCTGAACACTGCTAGGTAACGGATCAATAAACACGCATTCTTGAAAACAGAAGACAGTCCGTGCTGAGGAGTTATAAGGGGACACAGTCAGAACACGGGACAGAGTACAACGGAGAAAAGGAGTAGTGAAGTGAGGTGAGAAGTCGAGGGTGTGTGAAATAGTGATTTGTGAACTGTTGTAACCAGTTGTAAGAAGGTCCAATGAATTCGATCATCTAATCCAACCCCGGATGCGTGACTATATATATGTACTTATGTATACACACATTATTTACATGTGCATGCATGGTACGAATATTTGTATAATTAACTAGTTAACTACATGGAGCTGAGCCCTTCTTGAGGAATAGCCAGTTGTGTAGCTACTCAAGAAATTCCCAGCATTTTACGGAACCTGAAGGTTAATTACCGTGTTCACAAGAGTTCTCCACTGATCCCTATCCTGAGCCAGATCAATCCTGTCTGTATCACTCCATCTTATATCTCTAATATTAGTTTAAATATTATCCACCCACCTACGTCTTGGTCTTCCTAGTGATTATTTCCTCCTTCGTTTCCTCCTAATATCCTATATGCAATCCTCTTCTTCCTATTCGTTCTACATGCCCTGCCCATCTCATCCTCTTTGACTTGATCGTTCTAGTTATACTTGGCGAAATGTTACTTTACGAAGATCCTCTTTATACAGTTTCTTCTTATAGTCGTTCGTATGTATAAATATGAGTATTGCTCACGTATGTGTGATTGGTCGGAACATTGTTAGAAATATGAATAAATCGTTCCATAACCTACCCCTAACGTGATACTCCCACCTGTAGGAGAGGGGAATGAGATGCACAAACATGGCATCGGATGCAGAGCAAATGCCCCTATCCAATTCCGAAAAGTCAATCATAGCAGAGGGTCATCGAAGAAGAATGCCGAGATTATAAAAAACTCTCACTCAAAAACTGTTAAACAATTCGAAATGATTCAAGCGTTGAAGTGCTAAGAAATGTCTGAAGTTTTATCTGGCCCCCCCCCCCCCCCCCAAAAAAGTCCATCAGAGTAAAACCTGGACTTCTGGGAGGCAAGAATATTTGCCTGCGGACCAAGGGATATCTGACGGTCAGCTTTGCGCACAAGTTGTATTGAATCGTCAACGGATAGAAGCATCCCAGCTTCGCTCGCGACCCACCATCACTGAACACAACAAAAAGTTGTTTCTTTCGCCGTATTTTAAAACTTGAATCATTTCGATATGTTTAACAGTTTTTGAATGATAGGTTTTTATAATCCCGGCATTCCTTTCCGAGGACCCTGTATAGCCGTTATGTCTGGTGTAGAGGACAAGCCACCCTTTGATTCCAGGTAAACAAATCATGTATGACCATTACATCCAATGTAAATAAAATGCTGTTGCTTACTCGTAGTTTTTGCGAATGGAGTGGTCACGGTATTGACATTACGTTTATTGTGAAGGAAACTTCACCACACATTTCCTTAGCCCTGGAGTTGACTCAGCTTCTAACAGAAATGAATACCACGAATCTTCCTGGGGGCAAAGGACGGCCGGCGCTTAAGGCTGACAACCTCATCGCCATCTGTAAGCTGATTGTCTAGAATATGTGAGAGCCTCGACGTTTTACAAATATCCACGGCCTCTTACAGGGATAGCTTTACCTTTCCTATTTCCCGAAAACCGAGCCTTGACGCCACAACCATTGTGTCTGGTGCGAAGGAAATGCTGACTGCCTAACTCCAGCTTTCAAATACATCGCGAAATAGCTTTTAAATGCGATGTGGAGGAAACAGCAATGTCAAAATTTTGTTCGGATACTTTCGGTTGAAATAAAAAATGGCTTTTTTACTTTTTACGTAGACAGACGAAGAAATGTAGTGCAGTTAAGTATTTAACAAGGCGCCTTGTAATATTCATCACCACAACTTAATCTTAACGTTTATATACAGGCATTGTTTTAGCAACTTCCCTGAAAAATATATATTTAACCAAATGCCGCAAAATTTATTACACACCCTATACAATTTACATTATACGAAAACACGCAAGTCTCCTGTTAGCTAGATTGTAATTATAGATATTGTCTGTGGAAAGCAAACTTGTCAATGTCCTAAAGTCACTTTCCTCTCTGACAAGACTGGGTCAAAATGCATGCGTTCATAGCTCCCAAATGAAACAAGTGACTACTACGTTCATATATAAACCACTAGATACAAATTCAATTGTATCAGCTCACACAGTTGCGCTGAGATTTCAACAAGGTATGTAGGGAAATTGGAATAAGTTTAATAAGTATGTTTCTCTCCTCTTATTGCCGTCATGCCTTAGTGCTATTAGTGAAATGTCTGAGTGAGTTGATGTTACGTATTGTGGCGTATAGACCCGTTGCCAAACGGTGACTCTGTAAACAGCGGCCGTTGCTAGGTAACGTCCGGTACACGCATGTAGTAATAGAAGACTGTGTTTTCTATGTGCTCTGTGCCGATATGTTATAACCGGGAGGTTTGGAGCTTGGTCAGTTGAGAGTCACTTCTATACGGGAGACTGTGAAGAGAGGAATTGAGCTGCAGGCAGAGGAATAGCAATTGTTGAAGCCGTCACTAGGAAACGTCTAGTAACAGAAAGAGAATACAAGACTGTGTCTTCTAGTGAACTGTGAAGCGTGGAAATAGCGATAGTGTTATAGTTGTTTGTAGTTACGACCTGTAAGTGATCAGTAAATTTATTCACCAATCAAACCCCGTCTATAGTCACACATACTACGTGACAACATATAAAGAGTAAAAGACATTTCACTGGCAGCACAGTTCTTGACATGTTTGAGCAGGGTTTGAAACAGGTTATGGGTGCAATAGCCGTAAAATCAAATCCCTGATAGAGCTTCAGTACAATGCGTTTTGACGTAAAGACAGTACAAGATTTTTAACTCTTTCAGCTGTAATAATGGGTGTGTTTTGATGGAGCGGCAGCTGCAGCTGGGGTGAGAAGTACGTATGTTTGCCATACAGCTGTTGAAACAAATGTGCTGTCAAAAATCTGAATTAGCCTTTGTTTTATGACACAACCTAATGTCATTATCCTGCAGGGACATGGGTCCCCTGCTTATGCAGTTCGTGGCCTACATGCTGTCACTGAGTGCGGCCAGCTACCAACACTCGTACAAGGCAACAGCAGCAGGAGTCGTAGCCCATGTTGGAGCACACTTCCGCTCTACTTGCGTATTCCTGTATTATAATCAGGAGACAAGAAGTATGGGTAAGAAGTATGTTCTGTGACTCTCCCTACCTCTTGGCAGGAATGGTTTGGATTCTTTTCAAAGTGCCGCCCGATAACTGAGTTGCGTGTCCTTGTCTCATGTTTCATTTATGAGTGTGAGTTCTGGCGTCACCATCAGAACAGCTTTCATGAAACCCGTTACAATCAGCATACGAGTACATATTTTACACTCTTAATTGTATCAATAGCATACATTTTACTTACACCTCATCTCAGTGTTCCTACTGTTTCCTTCCTCTACTTTCTGAGCCAGTATAGTGACTAGGCCGGTCACAGTAGCCCTGCGGTCTAAGGGTCTAAGGGATCGTGGGTTCGAATACCATTCAAGGCATGGATATTTGGTGTGTGTGAGTTTATTCTGTGTTTGTGTTATCCTCTGTTTAGGTAGCGGCCTTGAGACGAGCTGATCACTCGTCCAAGAAGTTCTACCGCCTATGAAAAATTATTACGGAACTGAATAATAGGGTTGGGCCCTGAATGGAATGGAAGAGCCACTAGGAAAAAGGGGAATCGGGATTCGATTCCCGGTAGGGGCAAGATTCATTCATTCATTCATTCATCAGTAATCTGTCATACGACAGGTCCACAGTCTCTTCCAAAACAGTTTCTCCACTTAATGCAATCTAGAGCTTCCTCCTTCAAATGAGAATATCCTCTTCTGTCCCCAAGGTCATCCAGCATCTTCTTACGTCTTCTTCCTCGTCTTCTGGTCGCATTCATGGTATCTCTGCTTTTGGAAAGAGACTATCCAGGAAAAGTGATAACGTGGTAGTTTTTCCATTTGCTTTCCATATCGCAGTACAACAGCCGTTCAAACCACTCTGGGCACGCCTGTTGCTATACGAACTTGAACCATCTCGAGCATCATTTGCTCTGTGCTTCAAGTCGCTGCTGATGACGCTGCTTCCAGCATTAATATTAATATCTTGACCCTCCCCCTCTTCGTCTGATGCCTACCCTTTGACCTGTCCAGCAAGGGAGGCCCTGCCAGTAGCTACGCTACCGCTGGTATAGCTCTCAGGGTCCTTGGCATACTCAAACCCCCTCACCACGATAAGGTGGAGACACCAACGAGGAGGAGGGGCAAGATATTAATATTGTATTTAAGCATCCCACGGCATTAGTTAATCACTTGATACATGTAAAGTAAAGGAAAGTTTAAGAAAGCAGTCTTCTGGGATGTGGCACCGTGTAGATGTGGTGTTAACCGACGTTTCGGTTAACAGACTGCAGACTGGTCTGCTTTTACCGTTCTCACGGTCTTGTCGCTTGCAGATTTCTTATACTTTTTCTTCTACCCCGAAGATGGAGGCGATACGTTCCTCCGAAACGTCGGTTAACACCACATATACACGGTGCCAAATCCCAGAAGACTGCTTTCTTCATAGTCGCCGCCGTGGAGACCTCAAATCTTACATAAAGGAAAGTTGTTCCTCTGCTTAATTAATTAAGTAGTTAAGTAATTAAGCACAATGCCATGAAGGCATATGTGGAAGTGGATGTATAGATCCACTTTTTGCTTGACGTCGACACTACTCGGAGGTTAGTGGTCAGCTTCACGCCCTTGCCGTTTGAAACCCACGGTACCCATTGGATAGGAGACTGGGTGGGCCTCAGAGCCTGTCTGGACGTTGTGGAGAAAAAAAATCTTGATCCTACCGGGACTCGAAATCCGACTATTCAGTCGTCCTGCCCGCTGTACTATCCCGGCTTCCTTGCCAATGTTCACATATAGGCGCCAATACACGTTTCCATGGAGCTTCATAGGTTATTGGTTGGATCACCAATTAGTTCATGCTTTCATGTAAGTTCATTGTAATGTTTCGGCCACAGAGGTCCATCTTCAGGTGTATATGGTGATTTGTGTAAACTGTTGTATTGTAGGGAAGGGGTCTGTGTGACTCAAAGGTTTATTATTTTAACAATTCGGTATTTGTTAAATGTTATATATAAAATATTATTAAACGCATTTTAAATTATGTAATTTTATATATTTTGTGTCGCGGCATTCTTCCTTGTGTTCAGTTTTTACAGAGATATGTATTTCTTGAATGATATCTTGGTTTTGGAGAGTTATATCCCAGAAGATACAGCTGTTCTTAACCACCGCTGCTAGAGCCATCACGGTCTCTTAGTTACCTACATTGTGCCAAGATTCTGAGACTTTCACTCATCATTCATCTGTCATTTAGTGGCTTTAGAAAGTGTAGGCGAGACTTGAGCCTGTTCCATCCTGACATGTACATGTAAAGTATAGTTCTCCATCTTGCCCGCATTCTTGTGTGCTCAGTCTTGGACGAACCGAATCCCATCTCGGAGGTATTTTGAACATAGCAACAGAACAAGAGAAATTCAAGTGGCATCATCTGATTTTCTTTGACAAAAGAAAAGAAGGACGGAGCTGGTAGCTAGCCACATTTCAGCTTTATGTTTTGTGTTATTTTGTGTCTGAGCCGTATCAATATATATAGTTGTAATGTGAAGTACAAATATTTCATGGCGTTTGATTTGTTCTGTGTAGTAGGGGGGTATGTGCTGCTATCTAGTGTAGATTCCGCAGAAGGTCTTGCACACTGGTTTGGGTCGATGTAGGGATTTTCATTTATAATTTTGCCTTTGATAATTAAATAAATGTGATATTTCTCGAAGCTCTTTAAACATTTCCCTTTATTTCATGTTATTTTAATGTCCGTGGTACCTGTTCTGGTGCCGCATATACAGTGTGTCCTCTCTTCAGTACCCGGAGTAGCTATTGATCTTTCTGCCGGCTTGTATGTGCTCTTTGCATCTGGGTTTGAATGTTCTTCCTGTCTGTCGTATGCATTTTCATGGGCAATCGAGACATTTGAACGCTGCTTTTGTTGCATCTATCTGTTTGTAAACGAGGTCTTTTGTTGTGTTCTGTGTGCGAAAAGCTACGTGTATTTCGATTTTTCTGTCTTGGAACAGTTTTGTGTCGTTTGATACTTCTTTATTACTGTATGTAAAGGGAATACATCTTGTTCCTTGTTGAGAGGCACATTTGCAATTTGTTTTGTGGAAATTTGCCTTTTTTTTTTGGATACTGTGCTGCTGATTGTTTCGATGCATGCCTTTGACGGTGTTTTAAGTCAACGTCTTTTGCTTCTTTGGTTACTGAGTATATGATTAGCCTACCTTATAAGTAATTGTTACTTAAGAGTATGCACTCACAGTGATGGCACGAATTACAGTGTATACATGTATGTTATTGTGTGCAATTTCTGTGTATTTAAAAATTCAATTTTTTGTCCTCTCCATGTATTTTAAAATGTAGGAAGTCGATGGGGTTGTGTAGTTCATTTTTCATTCTGAATCTTATGGTTTGTTGTAATCTGTTATATTCTATGCGGTTTGTTCCATATTCATTTTACTTTCGTCGTTAAATACATTAGCCAGAAATGTCCTATTATTTGGTGTATCATTAGAACTTAAATTATAATTTTGCCTGTGGTTCTGTGCGGTTGCAAAACGTTGTCTCTGACATTAAGGGAGGAACATAGACTGAGTGTGTTTGAGGACAGGGTGTTCAGGAGAATATCTGGACCGAAAAGAGGTGAAGTTACAGGAGGTTTGAGAAAACTACATAATGAGGATCTTCATAATCTGTACCCTTCTCCAAGTATAATTAGAATGATCAAATCAAGGGGCAGGACATGTAGCACGAATGGGGGAGAAGATGAATGCAAATAGGATATTTGTGGGAAAGCCAGAATGAAAGAGACCACTAGGAAGACCAACACGTAGATGGGTGGACACTATTAAAATGGATCTTAGATAAGATGGGATGGGATGAATTAGATTAATCTGGCTTAAGATAGGGGCCACTGGAGGGCTCTTGTGAACACGGTAATGAAATTTTATGTTCCATAAAATGTTGGGAAATTCTTGAGTGGCTGCACAATTGGCGGCTTCTCAAGAAGGGCTCAGCTCCATGAGTGAGTGAGTGATCATTAGAACTGAGTATACATTTTCTGCATATTGCTGAGGTTGGAGCGCCTATGATTTGTACATCTTTTTATTTGCACTATTACTGAACAACTTGGGATTACTTTTGTTCTATAACTGTTTGTAGCACGCATAATTTCCTTTCTTTGGTGTTCTTGTTGATTTCAATTTGTTTGTTTGTGTATTGCTAATTGTATTAATGGTGTCGCGTTGTGATGTATTAGCGCACATCTTTTTATGTAAGGAACATGTTCAGGTGTTTCCGATAAACCTCATTTTCAGATGGATGAGTATGGGAGGTGTAAAGTTCTGTTTCATGCTTACCTAGTTCGTAAGCATGAACATTATTCAGACTGATTGTAGGTCTGACAGTTGTACATGATTTATACAATTCTATTGTGGCATGCAGGTTAGGAGCTACAGCACTCACAATAGTGTACTTCCACGTCATATCAATATGTTAGTGTATTGTAATATTATGTTTGATCCCTATTTATCATTGTAAATTGATCACCTTTAATAAATCTTTTATTATTTTGTTTGTATTCTTCTTATGTTAATATAACTGAAGTATTTTCTTTGTTTGCTTTTGTTATAACGAACCTGTTTATTGTGATCTTACTTTTCGTGCTTTTTATCAGTTTCCATTCTTTGTACTACCTCGTGTTTTCTACATTATACATCTGCTGATGCTCTTTATGTCTTGGTAACTGCATATCTATAATAGTTTTCTTCCATTGTTTCAAGATTACCTATAGAGCTTTCATCTTCAAGAGATAATGTTTTGATCCAGTTTTCACGTTTACGAGGTGAATAGTTTTTCAGTCCTCTGTTTAGTAATTGTGTTTAATCTTGTATAAACTATATGATTGTATGGTTCAAACATTGAATAATTTGTATTATTTATGTTTATTTTGGGGGGATTTGATCAGGATGTCTAGTTTTTTCTTGATTTCTTATTGTTATTTCTGGTCTGTAGGTTGTTCGATGTATGTCCATGTTTGTTGCCACATGTCCGTATCTTTTTTGTCGGTATGATCAGTTCTATGTTTAGTTGTTAGTTCTATTGACATAAGAATTTTATAGCATTATTTGTGCATAGTATTTGTTTGCTTTTCTTTTTTAAGGAACAAAAGAGAAACATTCAAACATTTTCGAGAAATGCCACATTTATTTAAATAGGAAAGATATTTTGCACATGAACGGAACCTACATTGACATTTACAACGAAGTATTCGAGACCTTATCCAGACTATACACCAGAGAGCAGCACATACATTCCCCCACTTTATATATATAACACTCCCAGCGCCATGGCAGTTTCGTAGTTCACACACGCACTGGTGATATGAACAAACAAATGTATGACACAAATATAGACAGTGATATGGGCTGAAATATTAAATGATATAAAACATAAAAACATAAAAGAATAACACATTTCTTGGCAAATAGCAGGTAACCAAGATAATATCCACGAAATACACACATCTACGAAAAACATAAAACACAGCACAAGGAAGTAGGATGCCACGACACACAATGTGTAATTTCAAAATAAATGATATCAATATTTACATTAAATTTAAATTGTATGAGTTTTTCAAAATAATATCACTCTCAGATGTACAGCTCTCGCTGACCATATAATACATTACAATCATATATACCTGTAGTTGGACCTATGTGGCAGAAACGTGTCAGTGAAAGAGTGAACTGAACTGAGAATTCAACCAATATCCTGTGAAGTTGCACTGATAGTACATATATATATATAAAGTTAAGATTTTCGCTGTGGCTCAACTGGGCTTCCATTCAAATTGGAATGCGACACTTTCTTTAGGATAAAACGGTTGAGGTGTGATGCTGCCAACTCATCTACTTCCAGTGCAAAAAAAATACGAAGTCGTAGAGCTAAACATCCACTCGCCCACAACTGTTCATGGGTTCTATTTAAATATACTTTCTTTCTTCATTCTTAACTTTCAGTTCCTCCTTCGCTATGGCTTCCTTCTCTTCTTTTGTGTGTCTATTCTCTTCACAGCACCTAATTATGATAAAGTGGTTACTATTTCATTTAGTCTACCAATTTTATGGGTTTACTCCTTGGATGAGGCGAACCAAGGCCATTTGCATCTTACTCCCTTGTTGCATTGTGCCTGTGGCAACTTCTCTCCATTTTCAGGCAACCTGGAGCTGCTACTCCAGACTCAGAAGGCACTAACACGGCGACATCTTTCGTCGGCCATCATTCCACTCGATCAGCTGTTCGTACGCCGCCATCTTAGGTGCCGTAGCAGCCGCCCTCTATACGTTCTGATCTCCAGCGACAGTGCAACTGGCAGCGCCCTTCTCAAGGTAGTACCAGAGCATAAGGAGAGCATAACAGAAAGCGTGGGTTATGGTCCTTCAGCTAGTCAAAAATTTCCTTGATTTTAAGGAAACCCGACGGACTACACCATAGCTAGTTTCTTAATGTTCAGTCAATTATGTTCGAGATATGTACCGAATGTTCTTCGTGCAAAGTGACCGTTATTTTTATCCTTTTTAAATCAAAATTTGAATATATGAATAAATTTTTGGAAAGTAAAGTAAAGTAAACCCTATGGGCCATGAAGGCCCATAGGGTTGTGAGACGTTAAGGGTCCCACATTATCTCGACAATCGGCTCAGAGGTGGCGGTAAGGTTGTCAGCCTTACGCGCCGGCCGCTCTCTACTCCCCAGGAAAATTATTTATTTAATTTCTGGTACTCATTTATGTTAGAGGCTGAGTGAACCCCAGGGCCATAGTGCTGCCGGAAGGATTAGGTCAATTGAAAAACAATCCAATGACCTCATCGGTATTTGAACCCGCGACCTTCCGAGTTGTAGCATAGTGCCTTAACCACTACGCTACCGCGATTTTAGTAAGTCTCCATTACATAAAATTTCGTGAAATCAATTCAACGATTGACGAGTTTTTCATGAGTGCATATAGAAGGACGGACGGATGGATATATGGAAATAATTTAACAGAAGCCCAGTAGGTGTGCGACCGAGCCACCAGGGTAGGTACAGCAGTTACCGCCTCTCGAAGACGATCTGGGCAATGCTCATTCACATCCTGACGACTGACGACCATACATAGATCTCCGTGTCCTGTAGTCCGCAAGCGAACTATACCGACCGAGCGACCGCCACTTATCGACGAAGTTAGTGCCAACTTTAGCGGATAGAGGGTGTCGCGTGGTCAGGGCAACTGATTCCCATGGCTGTTACTCACGGTTTTCTAGACCGGAGCCGCTATTTGCGTGAAATATCTCTTCAGTTATCATCACGAGGCTGAGTAGATCCCGTTCCAGACCCACTACTTCTCAGAAAATCTGGTAGCGCCGGAAATTGAAGGCAGAACCTCAGGATCTGTAGCCAGGAACTCTGACCACTAGAGCACAGAGGTGGTCACCTGACGACCACACAAACCCAGAAACTCGCAATCAGGGTGACAACTTTAGAATATCCTTGCCTGTAGGCCTACGCAATGGGTTTGCCTTTAGTCCACAAACTGCGACGAAATCCATCTACTCCATGAGCTAGGGCACGTTATACCTTGTGTAGGCAAACTTTTGAAGTTCCATTATACCCTTCTTCTCACCTGCGTAAGATTACCGCAAGCAGTATGAAAATTGTAACATCCTAATGATGACGTCACTAACTGCCGATCACGCACGTTTGTTCTCATAGCAGACAGAGCTCGAGGATTTGAGGGTGACTATGGTTAACTAATGACCTTAGTTACAGTCCGTCAGCCTCCTAGCCCACATGCAGCCGCAGTTAGTTCCCCGCTAGTGGAAGCGGTTAGTCGCTGGCTTCCCACAACGGCGGCCCGCGTTCGATCCCGGGTCTGGTCAAGTGGGATTTGTGGTGTACAAAGTGGCGCTGGGGCAGGTTTTCTCCGAGCACTTCTGTTCCCTTGCCGATCTTCATTCTACCAATTGCTCCACAATCATCCTCACCTATCATCTGAGGCTGGTACAATAGGCCAGAAGTGGCCGCAGTACAAGGGACTTAGTCCCACCCCACTAGCAATAAAAAAATAATAGTTCCTCGCTGCTCTTTGTATGACGCTTAAACAAATTTCAGTGCACAAAACATAAGCTTCAGACTAACGCCGTTTTCTGCAACAGTTCGATGTTACGGCTCATAATGAACCTACCTAAATGCGGTATCAGTTAACCTAAAGCTTCTGTTATTATCAAATACTGATTTATGTAAATTCAACATTTCAAGTTCTCAATGTCTCTATTACCTTCAGCCTTGTTGTCACTATTACCGGAACAGTAAGAACCCGGATAGCTCACCGGTGTAGTGGCAGGCTACGAGTTGGAAGGCCGGGGTTCGAGTTTTCTTCCCCTCGTCGTCCACACAGGATCTGGGACTCACCCAGCTTCCTATCGAATGGGTACGGGGGCTCTTTCACCGGTTGTAAAGCGGACTGAGCATGAAGCTGGCCACTATCTTCGATCAACTGCATAGGTCAAAAATGATGGAGTTCTACCTCCACTCCTCAACATGATTTCATGCCATGGTGCTTAATGAACAGGGACAACTTTGCCTTTTACGTTTATTACCAGAGCAATTTATGTTGCCGGTTTCCAATTTATTTGAATTAAATGACAAATGTCACAAGAACAAGCCACAGAACCCTATTCGCAAATGCTAATCATTACGTAATTGTCTACTCTGGTAACGAGAATACTTACAAATTGCAAACGAAATTCGGAATGCGAATTTATACAAACAATTTCGTAGCTTGTAGCTTTTAGATTGTTCGCTAATGAAATGTGTGTATTGTAGAAGTGTTAGTGGAACACATTACTTTCACTGTACACAAATTATAATTATATTGGCTTATTTTACAAGCCCATATACCTGTGCAACACGGTCAGGCATGCGAAATTTCTATTACATTCGGGTCATTCTGTAGCCTATATAAACATATGAAGAGTTATATTTCTCCGGGTTGTAACGCCGTGTAGTCTGGAGAAAGTCTTATGTTTTGGAGGAACATATAGCTTCCATCTTCAGGATCGAAAAATAAGCCAATCAAGGAGCAGTCACAAACAGGCTGCAAGTTCAGGTACAAGTGACTTCAGCTTGCCGTCTGCTTCTGTTACTTTCTTGCTTGACTTTCTCTTTTTCCCAGAAGACAGAGGCGATATATTCCCCGAAATGTCTGGCTGTATCTAAACAAATTTTTGAAACTCCAGTAGACCGTAAATTTTCTGCTCATTTATTAATTCATACTAAAAACCGTCTTTACACAACAATCAATAATACGTGTAAGTAGCTCTAGGAGATAGTTTTGCTACATGTTTCGGCCTTCAAAAGGCCATCGTCAGGCAAATACAATAAACTTTTCTTTATTGAACTGCACGTCAAATATAGGATACAGTGCTAAATTTCTAAGTGTATACAATGGTATAAGATGATATGAGTGAATACAAAATATAAATTACAGTAAAAGTTTAAGTCTTAAATAACCAGTTACAGAAACAAAAATATACTTAAAAGTTGTATATGTCATGGTATTTGGAAGTTGGCAGTTGTAATCGTAATGCTTAAGTTGAAATATTATAAAGAAGGGCTGATGTGGTGTTCCGAGGCCCGTTCTTATGTTGTATGTTATTATTTAATATTTGATACCTGGAAATAACATACCACTGGTAACTATTATTGAATTACTTTTTTTTTATTGCTAGTGGGGTGGGATTAAGTCCCTTGTACTGCGACCACTTCTGGCCTATTTTACCAGCCCCAGATGATAGGTGAGGGTGATTGTGGAGGAATTGGTGGAATGAAGATTGGCAGGGGAAACCGAAGTACTCGGAGAAAACCTGCCCCAGCTCCACTTTGTCCACCACAAATCCCACTTGACCAGACCCGGGATCGAATCCGGGCCGCCATGATGGGAAGCCAGCGACTAATCCCTTGAGCTATGGCGCAGCCATTGAATTACTTAGTGATTGTATATGGTATTGAGTGAATTATTATGGTTATGTAGTTTACTTACTATATGACGGGCGAGTCCGTTGTGTCCGATCTGATGGAGAGATATATTAAAACTGATTTGAGATGCATGTCGTTATGGAATGCTGTGTGGGTGGGGGGAAGTGAGGTGGATGTAGGATGGGGGTAAGGTAGTGTTTATATTTGGTAGGGTGCAATTATTGTGTCGAATATTGGGTTACATGTTTCGGTAAAATTGTAGTTCGGCATGCACTGTCTTCGCTCGCTTGGAAACCGGGATCGTGGGTTCGAATCCCACTCAGGGCATGGATGATTAATTTGTGTGTGTGCGTTTTTCTGTGTTTGTNTTCTTTCTGATGTACAAAATGTCCATAGTTGATCTACTGTTCAATATTCGTGGATAGGGTCTACTATGTGCTGGGCGAATTTGGAATTTTTGTCCACTGTTCTTTATGTCTCTTATGTGTTCTTTAAATCTAATTTTGAATGTATGCACCGTTTGTCCTATATATTTCTGTGGACATTTTGCACACTGTAACTGGTAATCTCCACTTAAGGTAAACTTATCATTCGTATTTTCATGTATTCTCAATAAGTGTTTGATACTGTTCCTGGTTATAAATGAGATACCAACTTCAGAGTTCTTAAATAATTTACTAATTGTTCTAATTTCGGGTCCAAAAAAGGTAAAGCTGGTCCAAATTTTCTTGTGCGTATAATTTTTTACAGAGGGTTTCGATATTTACTGTATGGTGTTTTGTGGGTAATTATTATTATTAAGTATTTTTCTAATAATGGTTTCTTCATTGTTCTGTTGCTGTGTGAAAGTTTATATTTATTCATGCAATTGACGAGGAACTTTATTGTGGCTCTTTTATGTTCATATGGATGGCATGAGTCATTGTGAATAACTAAGTCAGTAGCTGTAGGTTTCCTACAAATTCCAAATTGCAAATTATTATGTGTTTGTTTGATGAATAGATCTAAAAGTTGACTTTGTTGTATATTTCTTTTTCCATAATAAATTTAATTTTGGGGTGTATCTTGTTGAAGTTGCACAAGGTATTATCAATATTTGATATGTGAGCATTACAGATGATTAAAATATCATCGACATATCTGAAATAATCTATTATTTGTAATTTTCTCAAAATTTCAGTAATCGCTGTGTGCTCGAGATATTGCATAAATGCTTCGGCTAGAATTGCTGAAGTTGGTGCTCCCATGGCAAGGCCGTCATTTTGCTTGAANGTTACATTTTCCTTTATGTTCAATATAATTTTGTTCTAAAATAGTGTTTAATTTCTCTTTTTGTTTCTTGTGAAGTGTGTAATTCTTATTCATAAGATTTTCTACTAACTTTAAGAGTTCACTTATGGGAATTTTGGTGTGCATATTCTTAGTATCGAAGGAACATATTTGTATGTCTTTATTTATTTCTATATATTTTAATGAGTTTATTAGTGTGCTGTTGTTCTGGACGTTGAATGCGTTAGGTAATTGTAATGTTTTGGTTAATATTGTACTTAGGTGTTTTGCTAATTTATATGTAGGGCTATCGACCCAGTTGATTCGGCGTATAGGATTACCTTGTTTATGTAACTTGGTAGTGCCGTATATATGTGGACTTATTGTCGTGAGAACTTCAAATCCGACAAATGCAGACATAACTGGAAACTGCTCCCCAAGTTTCTGCTCGAATTCCACTTACTATAGCTATAGCTCAAGTGGTTAGTCGCTGACATCCCACCTCGACGGCCCGGGTTCGATCGCGGGTCTGGTCAAGTGGGATTAGTGGTGGACAAAGAGGCGCTGGGCAGGTTTTCTCCGAGTACTTCGGTTTCTCCTGCCACTCTTCATTCCACCAATTGCTCCACAATCACCCTCACCTATCATCTGGTGCTGGTACAATAGGCCAGAAGTAGCCGCAGTACAAGGGACTTAGTCCCACCGCACTAGCAACAAAAAAACAAGAAGACACCAAGTGTCCGGAAACATTTACTTTGTGAGCTGTAGCTGAGAGAATGCGTGGAGTTGTTCCGGCACATTAGTCTTGCTGTACGACATGTTCTCGGAAACGTGACTGATCAACAAGTAGAGAAGGACTCACTGCATGGTCTCCGCGCTCCACACTTCTGGACTTTTACCTTTGGGACACCTAAAACCCGTGCGTTATGCAGCTCGTGTTGACAACGAAGGGACACCTCACGAGCGCACTGTGGATGCCTGTCAGACTCTCTGCAACTGCCCTCGCATCTTTGTACAGATGCGGCTCTACCATGATGAGACGTGTCAAGGCGCGCATTGAATCTCATGGAGGACATCTTGAGCACGTATTATAAATGTATCATTTCAGCTGTACAAATAAAATATTTCCGGGATATTTTTTCTTGTTTTGCATGCGGAACTCGTGCCCAAACATGTCCACACCTCTCAGTTACAAATTTTATAACCGAGTGATGCACATTAACACACCATAATGACTACCGAATATATGTTCTTGTCCAGGCGTCTTCAAGCGTGCACCTCTCAAAGGCAGTTTGGATTCTGCTGAGTAGTTTCGAAGAGACCGATACGAAACCTATGGACGATTATTTTCGTGGCATATACATTCCTCTGGATTGCGAGTTTCTAGTCGCACACCGTCAAAACAATGACGTCATCATCAGCGAAGTTTACAACTTAAATCGAGATCTTCCTCTGAGCAGAAATTACTTCGGAACGTGGCGCCAGGATGTAGGACTTGCCCTGACCAACATCAGCTTCTTCGAACGTAGAAATGATCTGCAAGGAATTGTCATGAAAGTTGCTTCAATGACAGTAAGTAAAGTAAATAAGAGGAGGAAATGCTCCACACATTCTTGAACTCGGCTTTATGTGAAATTGAGCTTTAATTCCTGTAGTGGAAAGCCGCCATTTTGATTGTCAGAGATTCTGATTGTTTATGTGTAAAACATTATGTGTAAATTTCAGAAGAACTTCAAATGTAGGACAACACTTCAGACAGGTTTCTTGACTGTGTAGTTCATACAGAATGCCAACAGATTGTGTATACTGTTAGGAATTTGTGTAATGGTCGAAATTTTGGAGTCCTGTCACTTGCTGGACTATTATGTTATATTATAGCGTCCTGTTGCGCTGGTTCATGTCCGTGATGTGTATTTATGTTAACCGTCTTACAGTGCACACTTTTTATTTAATTTCACCTTCCTCTTCACTTTTACACTACATGTTTCAGCACTAATGTGCCAACTTCAGGCATATTAGTGGAAACATATAGTGTAAAAGTGAACAGAAATGTGAACTTAAATAAAAAGTTGCACTGTAAGACGGTTAGCATAAATACACATCATGGACTATAATGCTTTATTCGTATCTCTTCCGGAAGATATAGCGGTCGGGACGTGAAGCTAACCATTCATCTCAAGTTTGTATTGAGGTTAGGAATGTGTGAACCACATTTTCGTATGCCTCCAGTCCCGGATAACAAACGACGCTCTGGTGTTTTATGAAGCACAGGAAAAAATTTACCTTCAAAAAAAAGTCACTAAATGTCGAGAGAAGGGAATGCTGATGCTTGCTGTTGATGTCGTTATGTATGGTACGTGGTAGCTGATAAAATAATCCCAAGATGGCCGCAATAGTAGGAATTTGTATACATCACGATGTGAGCCTTACTACAAATGTATCTGTCTTTTCAGAACTTTTCATGTGTCATAGATAGATAAATTTGAAGAGTTATTTTATAGACCAAAAGCTTTCATGTGTAAGTTGGACCGATATCATTAATCCTGTGAAGTATATACCCATTTCTAGGCAACGACAGCGAAAGAAACGACGACACAACAGCCGATTGCTAGCCAGGGGCCAATGGACTGGCTGGAAATCGATGTATTCTGCGTGGTCCGTGCTGATGATTAAACACAAAATTTTATGCAACAATGAGGAACGGTGTTTTTACGCAGTCCATTCGGAGGGGTTATTAGAGGGACAAAGTTTAGAACTTAGTCACTCTCTTGTGGAGGCGGTGTCGAATGCCCCCACTGCAGTCCTGCGAGTCGTAGAAGGCAAAGTGAAGGGAACCCAGTGCCTGGGGTTATAATTGGGCAACCTTGTTCCTGGGGGATATAAATACGGGGGCCTGGTCCTCCAGGTTGGGGGAGTCTCGAATATGAGACAAATAAAATGTGGTCATGAGTCCCTCTGGACTCAGACTTCAGAATGAATGCGCTGGTGAGGGCCAGCAACAATTGTAAACGACAGGCCAGGCTTCTCGTTAGAGAGGATGTTTCATAAGGACTATGATCACAAGTGTTCATTTGAAAAAAAAATACTTCTTCGTGAGTCCCTAGGGGCTTGTAGCCAAGACCAACTGATTGGTGGTAAACCGCCAGTCGTGAAGTAACTCTGACTCTGACTCTGACTCTGACTCTAAGCTTACTCAGCCGTGGGATGTTTGCCAGCTGGCAAGGACGTGAACACGGAAGATGAAGAATCTCTGTCGGTAGGATCCGATGCTGCTACATGTTTCCTCAATTAACCGCGCAAAAAAACCAAAGAACTCAACTGGCTCGTAGGAAGAAAATCCCACCTCTCCATCGAAAACAAGTTACTGATCTACAAACCAGTCATGAAGCCTATATGGACATACTGCATAGAACTCTGGGGCTGCGCCAGCAAATCCAACATCGCCATTATACAGCGTGCCCTGTCAAAAATACTCCGAACCATCACGAACGTACCAGGGTATGTGTCCAACCGCACCCTACATACAGATCTAAAATCTCCTTACGTAACAGAAGTCATCCGAGAAAACAGCACCAAGTACTTCAACAAACTAGAAAATCACTCCAACCCACTTCTTCAACCACTACTACAACCTCACCAAAATCTAAGACTCAAAAGAAGTTGGCCATCAGATGTAACGAACTGAGGAAAACATCACTGGATGTTTCCGCACACGCCATGAAGAGTGTACAATAGACAGTTATTAAATTGTACACCAATCAGCACATTGACTTATAGATTGTACAGTCTGATTGTCAGTAAAGGAGAGAACAAAAATTAACCGCATTCAATATTAATCAATTATAATTGATTAATTGAGGTTCGGCCACACAGAGCGCTACGTAAGCCATGTTCGTTATACGAACAGAAAAATATCTCCCTTTATTGCCAATGTGACTGGCCATACAGTCTTCCGTGCGCTACGTACGCTATGTTCCCTATGTTAGCTGCGTCGCAGAGTGTACACAGCGTACGTAGCGTACGTAGCGAACATAGCGTAGAGCTCTGTGTGGCCGAAACTTTAGACGTGTAAAAATAAGACCTGGGGACTCTGACAGGTGTTACGTTGGTAGGCCGGTGAACTAAAAGCTATACTCGTAATGCGAGCCACGAAAACCCAGACCAGAGGTTCTCATAAAGAATGAACTAATTACTTGGTTGCTTGATTGCCACAAGAGACATAAAGATATAGGAGTATGAGGGGTGAGCCATAGAACTGGCCCTAGCACTGCGACCTTCAAACATAGAGATGTATGTGAATGTCTTTGTTCGCAGGACCCGCCAATGTCTGTTGTGAGGAAGACAGATAACACATTGATTCTCGGGGGGTTCTTCGGTGAGGTATGGCATTCCTTGGAACAAAGGATGAATTTTACGTGAGTACCTGTCGTGTAGTCGTGCGACCGAGTAAAAAATAAACTTTCTTAAATGCTTATCTGCCTAATCTTAAGAGGGGACTTTTTCCTAATGCTTCGCAGAGTTTATGGCTGCACATTCCTTTAGGCCACGAAATGTACGGACGCACCACCGTACCAAGAATACTGAGATAGCTCGTTTATCTTTGTTCTATGTGTTATTTTCACAATTCTGACGTATTTAATACGTCAGTTTATGTGGCGTCAAACAACGGAATGATTATTTTGGCTTGCCGCTATTGCGGCTGCGCTGTAGCTACGGAACTACGTGGCCACGGCCAACGAATCAGCGCTAATTGATTTGCAACTCCCAAGTCGAAAGGAGTTCTCTTGCGATATACAAGTTTTTCTATTTGCAATTTTAGTGTATTAGTGTAATAATACTACCGCCTCTGTGGTCTAGTGGTCAGCGTTCTTGGCTACAGATCGATTCCCGGCTCTACCAGATGTTCTGAGAAGTAGTGGGTCTGGAACGGGGTCCACTCAGCCTCGTGATGATAACTGAGGTGCTATTTCAAGGAAATAGCGGCTCCGGTCTAGAAAACCGAAATTAACGACCGTGAGGATTCGTTGCGCTGACCACGCGGCACCCTCTATCCGCAAAATTTGGCACTAAACTTCGCCGACAAGCGGCGGTCGCTCGGTCGGTATAGTTCGCTTGCTGACACTACGCAGCCCCCGTGAGACGTCAGAATACAGAAACGCACTGACGAAACATCCGTAATATAAGAGCTAGAGTTGTGGGGGAAATTCTAGAGACGCCAAGCCACTCTAAAACAAGTGGAAATATGCATTTAGATCTCAAGGAAAAAGAATCGTAAAGTAAAGACTGGTAACTGACTCTGATAAGTTGACGGAAGTATATGACGGAGGTTCAAGTTCACTGGGATATTCATTCATTGTTTTCTTCGCTGTTTTGAATTGCAGCCGCTTATCTTACATGCTGGATAACCTGGGTTCGATTCCCGGTAGTGCATGTTTTTCTCTCTTCTCCACATTGTCCAGACCGACTCTGGGACCCAAACAGCCTCATATGAAATGGGAACAGGGGGCTCTTTAACCGGGATTAAAGAGGCCAGGACGTGAAACTGACAACTCACATCCATCTAGTGCTGACGTCAAGAATGGTGGAGCTGTGCCTCTATTCCACGTACGTCTTCATGACATGGTTGCTTAATTAATTAAGCACAGGTAAAATCTAACTTTTTTACTGCCAAGACTAATAAACTCAAGGATACGAAATGCAGCGAAGTTTGTTACGTACTTAGGAAATTGTGAGCAATTGAAACTGATCATTTAAGAAATCCCTGTTTAAGAGCCCTGGTCCTTACCCATTTACTAGGATATTGTCACTTATCCGGAGTTTGCGTGACTAGTAAACGGGTATGGGTTTGATGATCGAATTTATTGGACCTTTATACATCTGGTTACAGCAGTTGGCATATCACTGACGCACTGTCATCATCTTCAAATGGACACTCCACGGGAACTATTCTAATTTCCAACTGAAATGTCAATTGAGTCTTATGTTACCAGCCAAGGTTAGTCGGCCCGTCTGTCTAGGAACAAAGCACCCATCTGTGACTTATGACCACATTTTTTTACTGTCAGACAGTTGCGGGTTTGTTGTGGTGGGGCGCTCTCTCTGACGAGAGGACGGGTTTGTCGTTTACAATTGCTGCTGACCCTCGACAGCGTAGTTATTCTCGGGTTCGAGTCCCGTGTGACTCGTGACCATGTTTTACTGTGTCAGATTCGAGACTTCCCTTTTCGTCGCCTCCTAGGACTCACAGGGTTACGGTGGAGGTATTGGGCAACGCCTCCGCACGGGATTTTTGGCGTTATTTTAGCCTCGTTATATAGCCGCGGCACGGACCACGCACAGAAAACACTTGTCTGCTGGTGTTACTACGTCGTCGATACGTAGTTAGCTAATTGGCTCGTTGGCTGCAGCCTAGTAAGAGGAAACAATTCTCCTAATGCTACGTTTGTGTATTTTGGGTGTGGCCTAGCCCTGGACGTTCGTCTGTTGTTGCGTGTTTACAAAGCCGTTGTCTGGCAATGTGGATGTTTCGTACAAAATGATACCTTGCCTTATTTCTCCTTGGCTATCTTGGTTCTTTTCTACTCGCGCTCCCTTTGTTATTGGGCATTGGGCTGTTAACCTAGCGTGTAAATAAATGCAGAATTACATTATTATTATCAGTACCATTTTCATCATCATTATGTCATCATCATCATCATCATCATCACTTTCGTATTTGTGCTTACTTCTCACTTCTAAATCATTACTTGAATTTCATTACTATTATTATTGGGGTCCGCGATAGCGTGGTTCGTTGAGGCACTATGCTACAAGCCGGGAGGTATATTTTCGGTTTACTATGTCACTGCATTTTTCAGTTGACCTAATACTTTCAGCCGCACTGTGGCCCAGGGGTCGACACAGCCTCTTAACAGAAATTAGTAGCAGGAATCTTCCTGACGGTAAAGGACGGCCGGCGCGTAGGGCTTGTAGGCGATTCTGCCCGTATATTCTGCGCCTGCAGCAGGACAGCACAGAGGTTGCACAACAGAAGGGCCACGTCCTGCTCCCGCGAGAACCTCGACATAGCTGTAGAAAACTCGTGTGTACTTCGCATCTGATCTGTATTATTAGTGTTAAGAAAATTTTATTACGTTAAATACTGTGATACCCTTCTTTATAGATAACCCAATAATCTTCAAGCTGACAACCTCACCGCCGTCTGTGAACCGATTGTCTAGAAAATGAGGGAACCTCGATGTCTTACAACACTATGGGCCTCCAAGACCTAATAGAGGGATACTTTTTTATTATTATTATTCTTTTTATTATAGAGATTATTATTATAATTATTAATTGAATTATTGTTATTATTATTTTTTTTATTCCTTGGCACTACTGCCCCAGTGAGCCTAGGCCTACCTCCATGAACTTCTCCGTTCACTTTGGTTTTTCTAGATCTTAGACATACGGTAGGACTCCTTGGGCGGGTGATCAGCTCGTCGCAAGGCCTCTACCTGTACACAAACACAGAAAAA